CCTCTTCTTTGCATATCCTCTCCTTAGATTTTAATGTTAATGCTATAGACAGATTGGTTCCTAAAGGGCAAGAAGGCAAATTATAAATATAGTAGAAAGAAAGGGAGATAGAAAGGGCAGATATGGCACAAAGATGCCCTGCTACTAGGAGAAGGTAGAAACTTCAGATGGAATATGGTTAAGGCAAAGAAAATTAACAAGGGCATAGTCACAAATATTGACATAGAAAATGGACAAAGGGAGAACACTGAATGTTATTACTTTATGCTCAGTATGGGGTTAAGTGCAAGGACTTTGACTATGGTGTGTTTGGATGTGCTGGTTGAGACTTGCTCCACCCCAATTTTAACTATCCAGAAATAAAGTTTGACATGGAGCGTAAGCTGTTAATTGAGGCTACTTTTCTAGTCAATAGAGGGAGAGTAAGCAACACCTCCCTTTTCCAACAGCAAGCATCAGAGCAAGGCTGGGCGAATCTTCTCCCACAAGTGAAGAAGGAAACAAGCTTCCTCTGCTTGGCTGGATGCTGCTGGCTGGATTAACCTGTCTCTGTTAACATAGCCCTGGTCTAGGAGTATTCCTCTAGGACACTACAACACGAATACCAGCAGCAGATGGGAGCAATGGGTTTTCTGGAGGAGAGGGAAATATCCTTCAGAGAACAGTCTCAAAGCAACCTCCAGAACTCAAGTTCACATCAGCAAGCTTGGGGTAGGATGAGCCTCTGTCCCATACACAATGGCAAGCCAGCTTTTGAGCTGGTATTTAACTTAGTTCTTGCTCTGTATGATGGTGTTCGAGTTTCGTGATCTACCTGACCCATCAGAACCTGCAAGAGCTGCTGCCTTCTCTGAGCTTTGCTTTGTTGCTTTATCCAGAGTTTGAAGTAGAGATAGCAAAGTCTAAATTGGGAATAACTTCAGCAGCATGGTGTGTCTAGCCATGCTAGCACTCTGCTTTCTGAAAAGATGATGACCAAACTAAATCCAGATTTCCTTTTAATCTGGCCTGTTTTAAATCAAACTGAAAAGAAAGATATTAAAGCTGCTACTGTGAAACGTGCTGTTCCATGAATTAGTAATTGTGTTTACCTTCTACATTGGGAATTTTTGCCTGTGTTGCTGTTTTTTACTGCCACTCAACAGGAGGAGCTTTTATTCGAATGAGACTATTTCAAAGCACTTTTACACCCATGTAGAGTCAGGGACTTATTTACTTTCTGACAGTTATTTACTTCCTGTAAATATTTCACAGCCACAGGATCTCCCAGATGAAAGCAGAGTTTGCTCTGTGCTCCTGTTCAGGAGTCTAATTAAAAACTGAATAAAATGGGAGGGATGGAGCTTAAGTCCTAGCTGCAATGGATGTGTCTGGAGGGAATTCAGCAAGGGGAGCCTGTTTCTTGGCAGAAGTATTGAAACCTCTAGATAAAAGCAGATTTAAAATGCCCAACGCAGGAACTTAAAGCCCTGAGATGGATAGGAGGAGTAGGGGAGAGGCTTTCAGAGACTCAGGAGCTATGAGCCCACACTGCTCCTGCACAAACTGGATGCTGCCATCACTGAAGAGTTGGTCCTGGTTGCCATTTCACAGCACCAAAGTCAATCACTTCCTTTTTGCCTGAATACTCCTCCCACAGCACAGATTTGAAGTCATCGTCAGCATCTCCCCATGCCTGCAATCCCTCCAGCCCAGAGTCACCACCACAGGGACAAGACTTCTCCATCCCACTTGAGAAAGCTGAGAGCATATCCTTACCTGGGGTAGGTCACTAACATGACTGATGTTCAAGTACATCTTAGTATCTTCAGTGTCTATGGGACTTTTAACAGAACTGGTGCTTTCTACAGTATGTTAATCATTACAACAGAATGATAGGCACTGCAAAGGACTCCGTGGCTGTGCTGCATCTATATTTGAATAACTTCCTACAATCATTGTTCCAGAAAAAGCCAGAAACTTCAAAGGAATCAAATAAAGAATGGGGGGGGGGGAAGTATTACTTTCTCTGTTTTCTCAGAAATAGCTTGGCTGTTGGTTAAGAAAAGCTTACTTACCATAGCTGTCTAGAGGATGAGGGCAAATTGCAATTTCCCTAAGATTTCGAGCAAGGATTTTTTGCTTAAGAGTACATTTGGAGACAAGGAAGATTACAAACAATCCTTTAACAAGTTCCTCAAGCCATCAGGCTGTTTAACGCTATTGATCAGTGCAGCCAGAGTGTATTAAAAAAAGATATATCTGTCAGATTAAAATGGAAATAGCTTTCTTGTTCTGACTTCTCATAAATTTTGCTTTGCAGCAGAAAGCTTCTCCAAAAACCAGGCAGTCCCACCACCAAGCCTGAGGTGGTGGCCCTGCCAGGAAGGTGCTGCCCTGCACCCTACCAGCTCCTTCTGCCTTTGACACAAACACATGCTCAGCAACTGCATGTGTGTGACAGTTCTGTCCCAACAAAAAAGGGATATTTCAGCAACAAAAAAAAGCCCCAAACCTAACACCTCAAACCAGAAGAAATGTCTCCTAACAGCTCATTGCTAAAGAAAGCCTTTTTAATAGGAAAGAACCTGGCTTGGATATGTATTTTATATAGCCTTCTGTGGAGAACATACAACATAAAGTCAAAATATACCCAGATCCAATATTTAATTGATGTCATCCACTTAAACAGCAAAGCTTTCATCTCAAAAGTGCCCATGGTGAGGATCACAATTCTGGAGATTTCGTTTGCAAAATAAATAAAAAGAAGCACGTTGCTTTCCATTTAGTGCCCCAGAAGTTGACAGCAATAGTTGTAAACAATAGAAATTATTTCTATTAATAGCCTTGTTTATTCTAATAATGTTGACATTTTCTGTGAAGATTAATTGGCAATAATGATGTAAATACTATTACAAGTGATATATGCACCATAAACCAAAAATAATTTGACTAACCTATGTTCTAGAAGTAAAATATTTACAGCCATGAGATTCTAATTATCCTTTGTTATGGCAAGCCATTCTTGACACTCCTCTTTATTGATAGGAGATGTATTGTTTCAGCATTTTAGCTCAATTTGTTTTCTCACATTTGCATTTTCTTATGCACAGAAAATGAGAGATGATCATTACCTTATCCACTTTGCATTCAATTTACATCAACAGCACATTACCTCATCCTAACTCATTTATCTACCACAGAAATTTGATAACAAAAGCTACTGTCAGTGATAAATAAAGATAATTTCAAATGGAGCCAGAAGAAACAAGATGAATTATAGGTTTCAGGACCTTTTGTTCCTTAAGAAAGGGAAAATAAAAGATTATTTCCACCTAGGCAACACTGATCTCACAAGGCTGTAACTCACATTCAGCATCTCATATTTACCTGCAGCTGATCGGTCCTTTCTGCATACAAAAGTAACTCCAAAAACCCACACAACCATAAACATCTCTCTCATTTGCTGCACAAAGGAACATTTTTTTTGGACTGCGTGTACAGAACTGATGGCTCATAAGCTCAAGCAAGCACTTTAACAACTACTTGAGGCCTATTGTAGCCTCATAGCAACTAAGAGCTCTCCAGCCTGCGAGACACCAGCACATCCAACACCATACGTACTCTGTGTCTCACCGCATGGTGTTAGCCTGCTTGTCAGATGCATGAAACGTGGTGTGGGATTTTCTTGCATTGACAATAGCAGAATATCCGTCTTGCTTTGTTGGAAACTAGTGAAACCTGCCAGCGCCCTTCTTCTAGCTATTTTGCTCTAACAACCCATCAGAGCCTGCTAGCCTTTTGCTGCTCTTCTCCTCCTAACCGTAGTATTAGAGCTAAGCCAATACCAAAAGGCAACAGCACCAACACCACACTCAGAAATAGAGCTCTGCTTTAAAATGTCTCTGTCCAAGACTCTTTTGTACCTGGGTAGAGGACTGCAAGTCCCATATGTGGTGGGAGAAGCAGAAACTAGGAAGCAGGCTTTGAGGATCAGGTCATTGGCACAAACTCTCCCCGGAGTGGGATGAATTATTTTGGCCTACTTTCCCCACAACTCCTCAGGGATGAAGAGGGGGTTGATTTTTGACCTTTCAAGAACTGAATGTTTCACTTATAGTTTTACAATGTTCACTATTTTCCTAAAATAAATTACTCACCTTAAAGCAGCTCTTTATATTAAGGGAAAGTCAGACGAAGGAAAGAAATGGGTGTTAAAAGTCGTAAGTAATCCACCATTAAATATGAATGGCTTCATATGAAAATCTGCTCTTTCTTTTTTGTGTGAAGCCCGCACACTCTCCCTGTCCCAGAGCCAGCATTTTATGAGCATATTCCTACACCAGCCTGCTGTCCAAGCCATCAAGTAGAAAGTTCATTCCTATGAGCTCAAGTACAGGACCTGGGAAATGCGATAGTATTTCCAGGGTTTGCCCCAGCAGATCTGGATAATGAACCAATAGTCTCACCTTACTTCATACAGGTTTTTGATGAGATAACTTGTGTGAGACTGTGTAGTGCTGGCTGATGCAGCCCTGCTCCAACGGTCCCTGGTTCCTGAGAGGAAACATCATCCATAGGGTTATCTTCAAGGGAATTATGCTGACATCTTTGGACAAAATATGGACCATGCTGAAGCTTTTGAAAATGCTACTGTGGACTTTTTGTGGCAAATAACATCAGCTGGATAGAAGTGGGAAATCCTGTGCTTTAAAGAGGTTAACTGAAACAGAAATAATCTGTTCTTGTGCCATGCTCAACCCCCAGACATGGCAGTAATATCCTGCAGGGCAGAAGATGAGCCTGAGGACTGCAACTACCTAACAGGTTTCTTGTATATGGACATGCCCCCTCCAGTAACACCCATGCTGCCATTTCAAGCATTAGCAGTGGCACATCTGAGGACCTTAAATTTACTCTTTACCGAGAGTAAATAAACAAGCACTTGCACTTTGGAACTATTGACCGAGCTCCACCATCCGAACAATTTGTTAGCAAGAGGTTTGGGCAGTGGGAAGAAGATGGCAAATATCCCCCTCCTACTCTCCATTTGTCTTCTGGGAGCTTGTCTTGGTGCCGAAAGAACAGGTCAGTTCATTTAAAACCTAGCAAGTCCTTCACTTTTGGGGGCAGGGGGCTACTGGCACAGATGAAGGGACAGTTTGTCACTTGGTGGTGGGACAGGTCATGCAGTCTCATAAGAGATGAACGCTCAGAGGGACTGCTGCATTTCATAGCTCCTCTCTCTAATGCTCTGGTTCTTGGGAATGAAAAAATAATTTTTATGCTGATTTTACACAGAGCATGTCACAGGGATTAATTTTAAGAATGCGATTTTTCTTAAATTGTTTGCAGCTTTTAAGCTTTCAGAGCTTGATTCAGCCATTTTAGAATGCACGCACCCACACGCAGAAGGAAAAGAAAAAGGAGAGAGCATCACTGGTGGAGTAATATCCACACCTCTGCATGTGCCACAACTTTGTCCTGGAGTACAAACGAGTACTCACATCCATAAAACAGTCATTGGATTTGCCACTGCAAGAATTGTTTAAAGCCAAACCCAGCATGAATTTAACAAAGACTGTAAGATGCAGCCAAAATTGTAGACAAGATAGAGTAGTTGATGGATGTGGGCAATCACACATAGTAATGCAGGCTGTTGTGTGATTTATCTGTGGCAGTAACAGTTCCAGCAGAGACTGGTTGACATTCAGTGTGAGCACTTGTTTGGTGCAAGACTGGCCTTACTTGCTTCATTAAAACATTGCAAGTAACAGGTTAAAAAAAAAAAAAGAAAAAAGGAAAAAAAAGGCCTCTTTCCAAAATGTCTGCTTAGTAATGAAAAGTGAACATAGCCTAAAGTATATTGGTACCCTCAACCATCCAGGCATACCTCCTAGAAACCACTATACTCAGCTGGCAGGTCAGGTCTCCCCTCATAGCCCCTTGGCCCAGAGACCTATCTCACTCTCTCAGATACCAGGTCATGTGTGAGTATATTCTTGGTGTAAGGATGGTTTTCAGCCAGGGTGAGTACCATGCCTGTCACCCCATAGGGCCTGCAACCTTCAGTTCAAATCAAGTTTTGCTTGTAAAGCAGCACACGGGATCAGTAGGCAACTGGGAAAGCCTAGAGGGATCTGATGGAGGCAAAGCTGCCTTCAATGAGTTCTCTCCATTAATGGGTTAATTACTGGGAAGAGATGAAGGAGTCTAATGCAGTTGCTTGATATCACATGGGGCGATGTGCGGCTGTGCCCACATCACCTTCCCCGGGCCCAGCAGGGTTACGAACCTAGGAAGGCTGTTCCATCACTCTCACCTGAAACTTTTCTTCCCAGCTTGGGGACAAGCTGGAGGCTGCAGCTGGTGCCATGGTAAGGGGGCAGGTGTCCTCCAGTGAGGCTGTGCCCCTTTGGTGCCTCCACACCCTCAGCCCCTTGCTCAGCCAGGGAGGCTCATCTGGGGGTGTACATTTATGCCCTCCACATGAACCATGGCCCAGCAGCTGGGACAGGAGCAGCCACCCCATGGGGGCTGCAGAGTCTGAAATAAGCCATCTTCAGAGGTCAATGCTTTACCCATTAGTATCTACTGACAATTAGATTAATGTCAGGATTTTAGTGCACTCCTTTTTGTTTTTAACCAAAATCACACTAACTTGAGGAAGGGAAAGGTGCAAGATTGCTGTAAAACTATTAAAAACATTGCAAAAACAATTCATTCAGCCTCTTGCAGAGAGATCTCTAGGTGAAGGGGCTGGTTACAGCATCAGCGGCATGGTGTATATCAGAACAAACCCCCTTGGGCTCACAAAGAGTTCAACAAAACTGACCCAGTGTGGCTTGGGAGAGGCTGGATCTGCTCTAGATTGAGAGCAGAAGTCAGCCATGAGAAGTACGGAGTGACTGGACTTGCCCTTCACTCTCCCTTCTGCCCCCTCAGCTGAGCTCAGACTCTGCTTAACCCTCGGAGGAACCAGACACGCAGGTGCCCAAACTCCTTCCAGTGCAGAGCCCCCAGATTAAGGGTCTGTGTCCAGAGTTGCCAGCAGCAGCTCCAAGAAGAGTTGCTCTACCGTGCCATCTGGTGACAAAAAGGGACGTGACTGCGAGCGCTAAGGAAGCATGGAGACAGAGGAGAGGCTGGGAAGGCAAAGCAGAAGCTCCTGTGGGTGGTGAAGCTCTTTTTAAGAGTGGTGGGTTGGGCAAAGAGTGCTCAACAGAGGTGGAGGTCTCCAAGAGGTGGATCAGGAGCAAACCCTGTCAGGTTGTTGCCACAGGGAGGCTGCCGACTGTGCTGAGGGGACGCGTGGCATTCATGGCAGAACCATGACGGACTGCATGTCCTTGGTGCCCTTCACCAGGCAGCAGACATCTCCCGAGGCCGGAGGTCCCTTGGGGGAGCTGCAGCACCAGCAGCTCTCTGCTTGTGGTTTCTGCCCCAGAGCTCAGCCAGCAGGACAAGGTCAGCATGGAACACGCCACCTTGCTGATGTGACCTGGCCCAGGGTGTGAGGAGGGCCATGTCAACCGTCCTGCCAGCATGGCCACAGGAGCAGTGGTACCAAGGTGTGTGGGCAAGGGTGAGGAGCAGGGAGAAGAGAAGCTGCCCACGGCTTCCAGGGGCCACGCCTGCCTGCAGAGGCAAATGGCCTTTTACAGCCAAAATAGGCAGAGACAGCTAAAGCAGGTCAATTTCTGTGTTCAAACAAGACTTCACCAAGCAGCAGCATGAAAAAGACTGTTACTTTCCCCTCTCAAAGAGCTTATTCTGGTCTGTGCATCTATGACAGGAGATACTCACATCATCTGCTTTGGGTATTTCAAGCATTGAACTTCCGCACTCCTAAACCATCCTCTCGCCATCAGTCACTTCTGTCTTTCGATTGCTTTGACTCTTAGTTCTCCAGATTTTATCCCCTGCATTACACTTAAGTTAGACACCAAAGAAACCTTAGGTGTAGGATAACACTCCTGAAACGTTCCTGGCCTTGGGGCAATGGGACGTGAATGCGTGAAAAGGTCTCCTCTCTAGCCCCTATTTATTTGCAAATTACAGTTTTCATCGAGAACAAAGAGGCAAGCTCGGTTTTGCTCAGGCAAAAGCGAGCCAATTCAAACAGACTGGAAGAGGTTATTCCTGGGAACCTTGAGAGAGAATGCATAGAAGAAAAGTGCAGCTTCGAAGAAGCCCGAGAAGTGTTTGAAAACACAGAAAAAACAGTGAGTATCACTGCTGCAAAATGGAAATACCTTGTTCTCCCCAGTCCACGCCTGTACGAGCCTTTTGGGTGAGGGGCACAGAGGGGAAAGGAGGAATGAAGAACAAAGGGGAAAACCTGCAGGGACTAAGTACAGCATCTGTCACGTTTTATTCTAATTTGTGATCCATCAGTTGTGCTGGGGAACTGCTTTAAAAGTTTGTTGGTCACCATTGAGATTGCAGAGTTGCTTGTTTTGCTGCAAGTCTTTTGCTTTAGCTTTGAAGTCATCCCTTTACTACTTCAGGCAGGCACTGTCCAGAAATTAGAAATCAAAGGAAACTTTCTTTTTTTCCCTTTGCAGATGGAATTTTGGAAAACATACATTGGTAAGAGCTGCTTTCTTCATGTTCAAATTCATAATATTCATCTCTCAGTGCATAAGTAGCATATGTTTATTGAAACAAATGTATTCCAGCATTCAGAAACTGTTTTATGACAGAGCCAGAGTACTGTATCCTAAATCTTGCAGCCACCCAGCCTGGGCTCTTACCAAAAAGATTTCAATGCCCACTAAAACATCTGAAACTAATTTTAAGGACATTTCAATAAATGAACTGCTTTGTAGACTGGCAAAGTGCCCAGAACATCTCACTAAAAAGCCTTAAATAATTCAGATTAGTCAGTCTGGACTATAAAATAAAAAAGTTACATTTGCATCGTAGGGCTGTCCTCTGAAATACCAACTGCTGAAACTCTACACTGTATTTGTTTCCTTGCCACTGTAACCAGTTAGCACTTCAAAAATGCTGAATGGCATATATTCCCCTATCACCCAAAGTGCCTGGTTTACTTGGAAGTAGCTTGGAAGCTGCTACTCCCAACACATGCAGCCCACAGGAGCTCAACCCTTGCACAGCACCCAAGTAGTACCAAGCCCCAATTGCTTCCACCAGGCAGCAACAACAGCCATGATCCACACCTTATGTGCAAACCCCAACACCTTGCCTTGGACAAGACAAAACCATTTTGTCCCTGTTTGCAGGCTGCCTTTTGTGTTCCAGCCCATTCCTGGGCACCATTAACAGCAACGCTTACCGGCAGCACATAAACACATCAAGACATCCCCCTTTCTCCTCGCCCTTGCATTACCACTTCAAAGCACACTTCCCTGTAATTTAATGTCACTGACTTACTGTTCCAAAGTGTGAGATCACTAATTTTGCAATGCTGGCTATTTTTATTAAAGCCTCAGCTTCTCAGCTGTAGGCAACTGTGAAAATAAAAGCCCTGACACACTAAGAAAAAGCTAGGCAAATTCACAGCAGTAGAAGACTTAGGAAGAAAGAGCAATGACCGAGGCTCTCAATCCTAATACACAGAGAGATCTCCAAACCCAAGTGAACTGACCCACACCTTCAGAGAACAAAGGCAGGAATGTTGAAATAATTCAGATTAGGAAATCCTAACCACTCTTGAGGAAGCAAACCTAACTTTGTCAGTCTAACTTAGCCAAGACATGAGGTCCTGTTGAAATGCTGCCTGAGGGAGAGTGAAGAGGGATTCTGCTAAAATGAGCAGAATTAACCTATAAATTAACCCACAAAGGACAGGGTATGTAATTAGGACTCTGGGTAAAGTGCAGCTGCTGATGTTACTCCAGAGCTGATGTTGTCTCTTCTGCACTTGTGCGCCAGGAACTGATTTGATTTCCATTACAAAGGCGGGAGGCATGCAGTCTCTTGCATCTTTAACAGGAGGCTTGCACAGAGTAAGGCTCCAATGCTCAGTTGGCACTGGCTGTGGTGGATGCTCATGTTTGCTAATTCTCCTGTCTTCTCTCCAAGATGGAGATCAGTGCGACCCCAATCCATGCAAAAATGGAGCTGTTTGTAAGGACGCAGTAGGTTCCTATGTGTGCTGGTGCCCAGCTGGGTACGAAGGCAGAAACTGTGAGATTGGTACGTACCAGAGGGTCATCCCTCTGTTCTGCCCTACTTGAAACCCCACTGCGTCAAAGTGGGTGTAGAGTTTCATCCTACTCAGGGGCTGTTTCAGACACATTTTGCCTTGCTGTAAGACACTGCATGAATGTGCAAATCCAGCCTGTTGGCAATGGGATTAGAGGGGTACATGCTTGGGGCTATAGGAGCGGATGTCTCTGTCCTCTCTTGTCCTTGATGGAGCCCCAGCTCACCTCTGCTGAGCGCTGAGATGCCTGCTCCTACACAGGGTTCAACAGAGGCTCACGCTCAAGGTCTTTTGTTCAGCACACTGCGGCTGCCAGCACAAATGTTGACACAGGGACCTTCCTTTATCTCCCCAGCACAAGCCTTTCCGGGGCCGTTTGTCAATCAGGGACCATGTGCTCCCCCACTTGAAAGCAATAGTTTTCCACCAACCTCAGTGGAGCCCCCCCCATTCTTACTCCTCCTCCCCATTTGTCATGCCAGGCTGGGCAGCAGGTGCTGAGCAGGGCAGGATCATTACAACCTCCTCTCGGTAGCACTCTGCTAAATACATAATTATAATTATCACCAGCAACTTTGATTCTGAAGGCAAACAAAAGGCAAATATTTTCCTGATGGGTTAAGGAGTTTATGAAAACCAAACAGCTGACAATTTAAGCAAGAGAGATATTCAGCTCTTATATTTATAATATAATCAGGGGCTGTGCGACTCGCATAATGTGCTAGACTCGCTGGACTAATAAAAGATTCTCTTTCTAGTTGTGGTTCTGCTCTGGCAAGAGAGGAGTGTACGTTAAAAAGAGCATTTGAAAGCTGCATCAAATTTAAATAGTCTCATTGCAGATTTCTCATGGAAGCAAGACAGGAACAAAAATAGAGCTAGAAGTGAGGTGTGAAAAGGAGTCTGTAAAAATAGTAAATAATGGCATCAAAATGGCTACGGGAAGGGAGCTGCCCTTGAGGAAGTAGGAGTTGAATTAATCTGCTGTGAAGCTATTTCAAAAACTCACTAAGAATTAAAAGGATATCTGGAGATTAGTGTTTTTCTACCTCCAAGAGATGATGTTCCCACCACAGCGGATTACGAGGTGGGGTGAGAGATGGCATGCACAAGTCATTGGAATCTCATTGTGCCTCAGGTTGGGGCCCATTTCATCAAACGTCCTGCTGA